TTACATATATGTATTACATATTCAACATAAGGTGTAAGTGATTAACAGTATTAATAAAGAGGCGAGCAGTGGGACAGTTTTTCTGGAGCCAGTATTTTAGTAATGGCCTTTTTACTTGCTGCCAGCAGGATCTTTAATAGATAGACATAATCTTTACTGAGTCCATCAGGGATGTGTCAAAGACAAAGGGATGTGAATGTTGTACTGATACTAAAAGCCAAAGTTTTTGAAATGATTGTTGCGACTTGTTTGGGTTTGATGAAAAAGCTCTCCAGGTCCAGGAGTTGGTGTCACGAGTCAGTTCAGAGGAGGACCCAAATGCAGACTAACAGACAGTTTGAGTTTTTAACAAAAAGCGAGCTTTAATGTCGCTGATTGAAAACATCCAATACAGGCAGGCAACTCAAAGTCTGAATGAAAGCAGAACAAAAACTAAACTGAAAACCAACTGGGAAAAACACAATGAATAGGGATGAATGCAAGATGAACAAAAGAACACACCCAGGAAGAACACAGACAAACTGACAAAGAACAAAGAGAAACACACAGGTATATATACACAGGAAACTAATCACAAGAACGAGACACAGCTGGAGTAGGAAGACATGGGCAAAAGGAGGGAGACTGGCTAACAACAAGGGTGGAGCAAACAAGACTAATACAGAACAGGTGTGAAGGGAAGACTCTGGGAACAGGGAGGGACTAACGAGACAAGTGTGACAGAAAACAGGTGGGAAAACACACAAAGACAGGAAGTAAAACCAGACATGACACATGAGGAGAGAATCTACAAAATAAAACAGGAATCAGATTAAACATGAATGAATACCATGAAACAAGGAACACAAACAGAAAACTCCAAAACAAAGTCCACAGGATAACAGAATATAAACAAACCTAGGATGACGACAGTAGACAGTTAGCTTAGATTAGCATAAAGACTGGATGCAGGGGGAAACAGGGGCCTGTATCACGAAGCGAGATCAACCTTTCCTGGGTTACCCAGACCTATCCTGGGTTGACTAACCCTAACAATGGCAATCAGGATAAT